CTATTGCATATAAAGTCGCTTATGATCTCTTCACCTGCTAGCATCATCTTCTCTAACATCCAGTGCCATCCATGATTCAATTAAACTGAACAACTCACATTTTCCTGAAAGCGTTGTAATGTTTTATGACACCTTTATCATGTATTTATTCTCTTGTTCCTTGTGCACCCAAAATAAACCAAGAAATACACCAAACGCCTAAAATGATATAGAGTTACAATATCTTAGTCCAGATTTTATAAAAATAAATCAATTTAATTATCTATCTAGAGAAAAGTGATACGTTAGCTATAGTGATAAGAATAAAACTGAAGCTTTTCAGTTTGTGTTTAAAAATTAAAATTGTCACCAAAATCTACCAAATAAAAAAACCAAAAACTCTTGAAAAAGTCACCTGGCAAAATTCAGTACTTTGCTTTTATACTTCACCTTAACTTCATACATTTTACCTTATAATTAGTATTTTTTTCTATTTTTCACATCAATTCAACAAGATATGAAAGGAGATCAGGAGATGGAGAAAGAGGTGAAGGAGGAGAGAAGAGGGGAATTAAATAAAGAATTAAGATATGTTATGTCCATGTGCCAGTTCCCACAATGAATGTAATCATTATGTACTGCAGACTTGTACAGATAAAATACACTTATGTGCACATATATATTATATATATTATATATATAGATATATATAAAGTTACATAAATGAGAATAAAAACTGTAGGAACTCCATTTTGGAAATTAGGATGCCATATGCCTATCTGCAGTAACATTTATCATTTAATAATTGAATACTTAGAAAATTAGAAAATCAACTAGGAAAACAAATGGTAGGAACTATATTTACAGTTCTCTTAGATTACATATGCAAGATAAATATGTATATAAATTATATTCCATAAAATTACAAATTCTTATCTTGATAAAGTGCTAAATGTCCAATTATAATAATCATTTCTTCCAAATAAATTAATTCATTCAATTAATATGTAGTACTCTGCTAATTATGCTTCTAAGCTCTGAAGATTCAGTACCTGGACAATGAATATTTAAGTGATTAGAGGAAATAAAACAATCTAAAACTCAAAAATAAAATTAACAAGTAGGATAGATGAATTCTCATTTTTGTAAAGTCCATACTTTAAATTTTGATCTGTCCAATGCTAAACATTCTTCAAAACTTAGACAAATTCATGTATTTAGCACTGTTATAAATATGAACACAGGAAAAGTCTAGAAATAAATATATACTATTGCTTTTTAGATAGTGTATAATGAAAGAGCATCACAAATCATTGCTTGAAGGTGGGATGCGGCGTCAGATAATGCTGAAACAATCATTTATCCATATATGTGTCATAACCCTACAAAGTGTGTGGGTAATTTTCCACTTTCATTTTCAAACGATTTAGAAGTCATAGTAAGTCACCTAAACCGCATCTTCTCGGTAAATTGAACCCTTCAGTCCTCATGTTCCATGAAACTCCAAATACCTCCACTGTGTGGCTTCCAATCTTGTCATCTCCATCCCAGCTAGCTGAAGCGAAGAAAGAGCACAGAAGTTTTGACAGGTTCAAGCTAGAGTGGCAAGCATCACTTCTGCCCATACCCCATGGCCCAAATTCCTGATATGCAGGTGCATGGCGAGGAAGTCTTGAGTTGTAGTCTACACACCAGCCAAATAGAAGGTAAAAGACTTGTGCTCTGGTAAGCAGCTAGTATTATAGGCAGAGGAGATTTGGGTAGCCACAACCAATAGTATGTGGGAGGAAAAAGACTGCGTGCTTGACAGAGCAGGCTCTGAGGTCAGGGTCTAATGTTAGCACCAAGGGACAGCATTTCCTGTCAGTTCTGCATGTGTAAATGGGTTATTTTATACCTACTTGATGGAGTTGGTAATAAGATTAAATGAGATAAATTGATTGCATCCCATCAGTACCCAGCACATGGGAAATTGTCACGGCTGTAATGGTTAGTTTTCTTCATTTAGGACCTCAGTATTCCTTGTTGATTGGTTTCAAGAGGAATGGTGAGTACTGCAAATAAAGAGTTTCCAGCAAATGGTTCTGGCTGGAAAGTGTAGGGAAGCGTGATGCAATCAACACCAACAAGTCCTGTCTTGTACCTTGTTTACCAAACAGCGAGCGAAAGAACAAAGATATTTGCATCAAAATACATGGAATGACACATTCGAACCATTTCCAAACTGTCCAGTATCAAGATATCACTGTGTGCTGGGGATTTAGCTCAGCAGCACAGCGCCTGCCTGGCAAGTGCAAGGTTGTGAGTTTGATTCCCCGTACTGGAAAAAACAAAACAAAACAAAAAAAAAGCTTAGTTGAGAAGGGAAAGAAGGAGAAATTTTGTATGTATGCATATACAGGATAGTTAACATAGTTGTTCTACTGTCTTCTATTTCTTTGCTGAAAGAAACTGTCAATGAGTCCTTGATTGATCAGTATTGCATGTCTCTATCTGTTTTCATGAGAAACCACTTTGAAGATATCAATATGTAATACAACAAGAATTGTTAATTTCCTACCACTTTGTTGTAACTCTGTATTGTCTGTACTGTTCTTTTGCTATTTTGTAAAAGGTTGTCTGTCTGTTAATGTTTTCCTCCTTTTATTTTTAAAATAAAAATTAAAAAAAAATCACTGCACTAGCAATTTGAGCTATTAGAACTAGCACATGAAATTAAGCCTGTTTCTCACCCCAGTGGAGGAGAATAAAAGTTGTCCAACAACCTAAATTGCTTCTTCAAAAATGTTGCATGCTATGCAAATTAACTTTTTAATGTACAGGGTATTTTTTATGAAATCTGCCTGGATTCCCGTAAAGTTTTTAATCCAAAGTCTGAGCAATGAGATAGGAATGTGTGATATAAACTACGCCACTTTAAGCATAAGTATGATTCAAGAATTATGCTCAGATTATCTATAGCTACGTATCTCATAAACAATTATTTAGAGAGGCATAAATGTCAAGTTGAAAATCACACCATGTCCCCATTCCAATTTAGCAATCTCCCAGTACAACAGAAGTCAAACTATCTTCTTTCTTATGGATTAAACTGAATTTAAAAACCCAGCTTGGTGGATGCAGAGTTAAGTTAGCTGCAATTACTTCCTCTACTGAATAAATTTGTCATTAGAGCCATAGGGACCTCCCCTGCATTTACCTATTAGGGGCTGAACTTGCCATGATAAATGTCACTCATGAAGACTAAAGGACCTAAAGGAGCATGAATGCTCCCTTCCTTTCTCTGTTCACCAATCAGATGGCTATTCCTGCTTCTTTCAGGGGGACAGAGTAAATAGAGTGTGATTGATGACTGTGATATGTCAATTTGAACAGATTAAGAGACACCTAAAGGATTAGTGGAGCACAGGTCTAATATGTCTGTGGATGACTGACAAATAGGCTACAAAGTGAGGAGGAATGACCCAGCTCTGATAGGAGAGATACCAACCAAAATACTTGTAGCTTGGACAAAATAAAAAAGGAAAGAAGGAGGAAGTCTGCCCTTTCCTTTTCAGAGAAACTCTGGTATTTGCCATTTCTTTTGGATGTTCGGCTGCAGTTTTTTCAGGCTGCCAGCCCAGATTCCAGTCTACTAATGCAGACCCACTAGCTTTCTGACACAAACTCACACCAAACTGCACTGAGCTTCAGGCCTTCGATCTTAGACTGGTTCTTCCCACTTTCTAGAACACAGACAATCATTTCGCATTCTTCCAAAGTTCTCCTTTGTAGTGAACGCTCATACACAGAAACAGCTGAAAAAAATTTTCCTTGCTCTCTGCCTCAGAAAGGGCAGATGTTCTGTATTTTGGCCATAAAATAGTAGTAAGGAACGGGAGAAAACAGTTCTCAAAAATATTCCCCATCCTGGTGATATAAATATAAAATCTATACAATTAGTCCTGAGTATCGAAAAATTTTGACTGCAAACTTATTACATTCTCAGATAATAACATAAAAGGGGTAAAATTGATGCCTCAAGAATCAATATAACTTGAATGAGTTTATTCAGTGAAATTCTTTCACTCAAAAGGAAGGAAGGGAATAACAGGGCAAAACAATGATGAAATAGGATCAGAGGAAACTGATTAACAATAAATACTAAAGAGGGAGATTGGTTCATAAACTATATGGGGAGCGTCACTGTGCCTATCATTTAGAGGCACACATCATATTAGAAATGTGTCAATAGGAATGAGAAAGATAAAAATGTAAGTACATGAAGGATCCCTCCAATCCAAATGACAGTATTATATTCAGTTTTAACAAGTAAGTATAAAACAATGTGTGGAAAAATGCGAAGTTTCGGTAAAAGATTTTAAGGAGATAAAATGCTAGGAGGCAATGATGAATAATTGAAAAACCACATGTACGCTCTGAAACACACAGCTTCGGGTTGAAATAGTATCCTTAAGACCTAGTCACCACAGGGCTTTGGTCTTACTGGTTGACCTGGCCTCCTATCCTTGCCTTGTCTGTGAGTGACAGCAGCTTAACAAGCCCTATAGTAACCACACATGCATAGATAGTTCCCTAGTTCACTGGGACATATATTGGAAAGGAGAGCCTGAAAGAAACAGATTAATTTGAAATTGTTTTGAATGTAAAGACGTGTCTTAATCTGCCTTCTCTTCCAGTAAATAATCACTTTCTACTGTAAAGAGTTTACAATAGAACTAATAACCCTAAATTGCATCAATTTTCTTCTTGACTTCCTATGAATATAATACTGGGAAAGGTCTTACAGTGTCCAAACCAGAAAGTCATGGAAGATCATCATACATATGTATCTAAATGATTGGAGGATAAGCCAGTCTAATTGCTTCTGCTAGAATTTAAATCTCACATGTTTTCTATATGGTTATACAATTTCCTATGCATTTATCTTGAATCTGAACTTCCTGAAATATTTTCTAAAATACATTTCTTAACTTAATGCATTATATGTCCTAATGCTTCCTAAATGTTTATTTTTGCAGCTTTTACAACTGGGACAGTCAGATAGCTGTTTGTAATTCAAGTCCCAATTATCAGGTGATTGATGATAATCCAAATGGCTTACTCTTCAAATATAAAAAAGACAGAAAAATTCTCAATGTGGATCCAAAGGTAATTCTGGTTCATACTTATGTATCTGTTCAAATTCTATTATATTTTTACAATACGCAAACATTGAATAACTGGCCCCTTAAGATTTTTTACACTAGAAATGAAAAACTGTTTTAAAACTTAAAGGGAATATTTTCTCTAAAAAGAAAAATTATAAAGCTTAATTAGTTTTCAGAAATTAATAAGAAAAAGTATAAGGAGAATTTAAACAGACTTTAAAGGTGGGGACAATTCTCTCCGCCCAGCAACAGAATGAGATCAACCAATGGACATTTTATTTGTTCACCTTGATCTGGAGATGTCCAGTTGCATTTGCTCTTGGAAGGGAGGTCACTTATTTAAGGATGAGAGATTCTAACCTCACATTCGTATGTGGAATTTCAACCTTTCTTTATACATGGCTATGACTGAAAAGAATATGGCCATTAGCATATGTCTAAATGTTCACTTAGAAAACACCTTATCTTTCAATATTTTAAAAACATGCCCCACTATATTTTGATGTTTGGGAATGAAGGTTGACACTTTGCTTGATATCATTGTATGCTTGGATTGTTTGGGTATTTTTTTTAACTTTTGAGAATATTTTGTTCACACGCACATGATAATATCAGTCTAGAATCCAAAGACAAGACAAATATTCCTTCAGAGTGAAGAAAATAAGAATTATGTGGTATTTGTTTGTGTAGAGGCAAGGATGAGCCAAAAGTAAAAAAAAAAAAAAAAAAGCATCAGGGTTTTTAATTTTTTTCCTAAAAGTTTGTAGAGATTCAAAATCAAAATTCCTTCTTTCATATCCACTTAATACAGCTCCTGGCACATTGAAGTGCTCAGTAACTATGTGTCCAAAAAATAAATGAATGAAATTCTATAGCAAGAAATGGATTATGTCTGCAATCCATCAGCTGTAAGTATTGGAAAACCCAAGTCAGTGATTTAAACAGAGTTGAGGCCTCTGTCCCACATGTGAGTCTAGCGAGAGGCGAGCCAAGGTTGGGCTGGCAGCTCTGCAGTCATCTGGACAGGGGGACCCCCCTCCCCAGAACACATGGGCCGGGGTACGGGGATCTAAAGCGATACAAAAGACCTGCCATCTCTGCCTTTCAAGAAAGTTTCCCAAAAACTACCACGCAATTGTTCTCACATGTCCCATTACAAGAGCAGGGCCATTTGACCATGTCTAACCTTATTAAAGACTAAGTGTAATCTTTCTTCAGGTGGCCTTGGTCCTGCACCGTGCTGTAGCTTTTTATGGGACAGGAAAAAGAGAGGCTTACGTAGACAACTAGTAGTTTCTGACACATGCTACCTCTTTCCAAAGAATATTACTTTTCTTGATCTTAGGGTTCTGAGTGAAATGAGATACTAGATCAGAAAATCTTTAGAGCCATATATATTATGAATCTATGAGTACCAAAAATGTTTATCAACACACCCGCTCTCCAGTAATGCCTCTTTTTTCTGATGAGTGTCAAAATGTGATTAGTTGAGGCAACTAAAGAAAACTTAAACATTCATTAAATTTAATAAATAGTATTCAGGATCTTTTCCTTTACAATGCTAAACTATATACATAAGAATAACATTATTAATAGTTTCATGAGGACATGCAAAGCAAATCTTTAATCAGTTTTCAAAGATACCATATTTAATCTAATTCAGGAGATCTATTTTTTAAAATGGCATATGTCAAGAATGTATGTCATGAATTATTTTTATGGGCTTAGGGGAATCATTATTGAAGGAAAACTGTTACTTGAACATGGTTCAAATAATTTTAACTAAAACTTTCATTTCCAAAATAATCAACAATGAGATTTCATAGATTTAGTCAACAATACAGGAAATATAATATTTTCCTCTTTTTTTCTGAAAAAAATTTGAATTTGAAGAAAAGATTTACAAATCTTGAAGTAAGAGCAAGAATTTAGTTAATGAGTGATAAAAGGATTATTCAGTGAATACCTGATGATAATTTAGATTCCTTTTTATTTTACTTGTGGTCTATTTTATACTTATATTTTAATTATATAGTTTTGAAGATTAAAAATTAATGTCAGATTTTCTGGAAAGAAAAATTGACCTGAATATCAGTAAGGGAAACTCTGTGCCTTATTTTACTATTAACTGGTTGTATGGCGTTAATAAATTCAATTAGCCTTCCTGGATTTTAATGTTCACCACTGGAAGGTAAATATTTGTTTTATTTGTTTGCTGTGTTTTCTTTCTGATCTCTAGAGTCCCTCCAAAGCACCAGGCTCAACTAAATCCAGAAGTACATACTTTAATAAACTGCCATTGTGATTCTGCTGTAGATTCTTCCATTCTTCTGCTATGGTTCTTCCGTGAACCACAATTTAGGAAAACTGTCTCTGTAAAAAGAAATCTGGCATACTGTGTCAGATAGAAGTAAAACAACAATCTCAAGAAATCTGGTATACTGCCTCAAATATAAGTAAAACAACAGCTAGATTTTAATTTTAGGGACCACGTATAAAATTAACATATACTTTTCATGCATGATTTCCTACTCATCCTCTGCAAAGAAATCTGATGTTTGATATTTCACGTACCCAATATAATATTACTTAGAGACCCACAGGAGGAACATGCTAAACTGTTTAGTTTTTAAATTACAAATTAAATGATAAGAATTCCATTTTATACTCAATGTTTTTCTGAATAACTTTGCTTAAAATTCTTCCAAACATGAGCATCTCCTAAATCCATCCATTCAGGTGCTATAAAATCGTGTGAAGCAAATACATCCCAGCCCTGCTATCCTTTTCTTTCAAGTATTATCCTTGAAATACTTTATGTTTAAAATTAAAGAGGTCAAGATAAATGAAAGGTAGAAACAGTGGTAAACAGGATGTGTTTCCTTTGTAAAACACAGATGTACACTCATTAATTCTGAAGTTAGTTCCCATGAAAAACAGTTGTTTGTGAATGGTACGAGTGGAAAAAGAAAATTGTGCAGGTCTTAGAACAAGTAATATGAGTTCATTGGCTAAGAAATTCCAAATGCAATAAGAGTTTGGTTGCATTGAAAACAGGACCACTGGCTTTAACTTCCCTGCAGCTGTATAACATCTGGAACAAATAAGGCAAGTTTCTATTTTTGAGTGAAGAATGCTTGTCTGAGTGATTCACACCCACCAAAATGTTTCCAGTATATTATCTTTAGAGGGCTTGCGTGGAAGTATTTTGCACTTATTTCTCAGTATTGTGTGCACAAATAAATCATATAGGCATTTTTTATATTTAGAAAATATTAACCATGGGAGAGTTTGCTTTGAGTCTTAAGATAGTATAGGTGCTCTAAAACTGGCACAATGTACCAATAAGGTGAGAGAAGACAGTGTATACAACAGTTAAACCAAGGAAGAAATTTTCTTCTTATTCACCCCAGCCTTTCTCCCTATATTCCTTCCATTTGCTAGGACAGAAAAGGCCATGGAGACTCTATCGCCTGTTAAAGGTACTTGGTTATTAAATATTCAATATGGATACATTGAAAAGTAATTGGATAAATCATCCCCTCCAAAAAACACATAACAGTAATAATTGTGTTACATTATAAAAGTTGAGTAGATTATGCCACTCATATGTGATGTATCAGTAACAGTGAGAATGACTACAGCCACCCCACTTCACATCCAACCAAATAAGTCAGAACACATTGGGGGAATTTATCATTGGAAAGAGGTTTTGTAGAGGTTGTAGAGAAATCTTTACTTTGGTGTATGCTTTCAAATCTTCTTGTGTGGTCCCAGGAATATCTAATTTAAATTATCTGAATGAAACTGTTAAATTGAAACATATTCTTGACTTATGAATAGACTTGCCTTAAGTGACCTGCTCAATGTCACATAATTAATTATTAGTAGAATCAAATCTGAAGCCTAAGTTTAAATATTATGAGACACTGGAGAAGGCAAAAAGTAAAACTTCAACCCTTGCCCTTTAACTGCTAATAGATTTTTTAAGGAAAATAAGCATAGAAAAACATGACTTTCATGTACGGCAGTCAGTAGTAATTTGCAAAAAAAGAGCGAGAAATCCTTTGGGTATTCAGTGTAAGAAGGGACAAGTTTTGGTCTGCAGGGGAGGATCTGATGGAGAGGGTTAGTGAGAGACAGCACTGGAAAAATGTTAAGTGATGTTGGAGAAGATCATCTTGTAGCTGGACTTGAAGTATAATTAGGGATTAAATTTACAGAGAGGGAGAGACAGTCAGCACCAGGGATTAAATGTATTCGCCACAATTCACAAGTATAAAAAAGACAAAGAAAAATTTAAGTAGTTCTGCTCTGTTGCTGCATTGGAATAAGGTGGGAATTAGGCCTGGAAAGAGCATAAAAAGCATCGCAGACGGCGCTGATGAGGAACTTGGACTGGATGTGACAGATGTGAAAGGTGAAACGTGTCCAGGCTCTGTGAGAGAAAATAACAGGCGGAAGTCGCATTTTAAGCTGATTGGAGAGTGTAGAACAGGACTGACCAGTGAGGAAAAGCAAACCGGAAGTAAGATCAGTAACGATAATCTAGGTAAAGAGTCAACAAGATCATAAGTAAGGGTCCTGCTACAGTTTAGTGGATTTCAAATTGATTTTGAGTCAATATTATAGCTACATGACAATTCAAGCAAAGACAAAACTTGGAAAATGTATATCTGTCTAGAAAAAGTTTTTAAGGATCTCACTCCCCCAGCCTTCAAAGAAGAAAGATCTACTGGAACACCTCTTCTACATATCTGCTTGATAAATGCCTGACAATAAAACAATCAAACCAAACCACAAGATCTTTGAGGTGGTGATGCTTGTGTTAAGTGGAAGACATTGGTGACACAAAAGACATTGGTATAGAATAGCCTTTGTGGATGCACTGCTTCACAGAGTTTAGGCACGTTCAATATAACTTACGTGTTCTTTTAGTGGGATCTATTCATGTTTTTGTTCTGTGTCACTACACACATGCATTGCTATACACAGGAGCCT